CTCGAACCACGACCGGGGGAGGGGAGGAGGAACGAGACGCAGTGGGCTGGCGTCGCGCACAAGGGGGTGACGAGAGAGGAGGGGGCATTCTTTTGGACGCCCGAAATGGGTACCGAAAAAATGGGTACAATGCCCAACAGCAAATGTTGTCCCAAACCAACAGCGGCCGCTGTTGGGCAGGCGGCCTCCTGTCTCGAATGGACACAGGCCGCGGCGGCGTGGACAACGAGCCCTGTTCAAAATGAACAGGAACTGCTGTTGGGCATTGTACCCATTCTTTCAGTACCCATTTCGTGCGTGCAGAATTCTAAGAAGGCGGCGTGCTTTTTGGAAGCCGGGGGCCTTCTCAGAACGGCCTGGAGGCTTCTGAAAACGGTTTCTTCGAAGCCGGGCGGGCTGCTGAGAAGGGCCCTGCCTTCTTAGACGTCCCCCCGCCTTCTGAGACGGCCTCCCCACTCGCGCCACACCCCCCTGGTGCGCACGGCGAGTTGGACGAAGTATCCCGCTGACCTGCCTACCCGGGATTGCCAGCCGAACCCGAGGAAGGATTCCCACCCGGGAAGACCCTCAGGGCCTCCCGAATGGCCCTCGGGGCGCGATGGTGACGGTGGCTGCCCAGCAGAGACGCCGGTGTGTTCCTCGATTTCCCAGGCATGCAATGTCCTGATGCTTCCTGTGCGCGGCCCCCGGGAATCCCGACCCCTTCCCAAGGGGCCTGCTTTTCATCGCGAGTCATTCGTGGACAGCCCCAGGATCGGGCACGGGCCTCCAGGGGCCGACAGTTGAGAAATACCTTCGTCGTGATGTTGTTCAGTGTTTGCATGTCTGGGTTGTGTCTGTACATCCTACTCTTGTTCGACCGCAGGTGCGCTGGCTGCCCCCTGGGAAAGGGGGGAAGGGGGGCCGCCCTCGAGCGAGGAACGCAGGGGCCGAGGCCGCGTCCGAGGGTCCAGCGGCCTGACCTGCAGAGCTGCTGGGAGAGGCTGAAGCGCCACTGCATTCCTTTCTCTATAGATATTTGGACACCCGAAATGGGTACCGAAAGAATGGGTACAATGCCCAACAACAAATGTTGTCCCAAACAAACAGCGGCCGCTGTTGGACAGGCGGCCTTCTGTCTCGAATGGACACAGGCCGCGGCGGCGCGGACAGCGAGCCCTGTTCGAAATGAACAGGAACTGCTGTTGGGCATTGTACCCATTCTTTCAGTGCCCATGTCGGGCGTCCAAATAGATAACTCATCCCTGTCGCACCCCGAGGCCAATCGGAAGGACGGGCCGGGCGTTTCGCCTGAGGCTTCCTTACCATTTGTGGTCCTGGAGCTCAGAGGTTGGCCACGGCTTCACGAATGGAGGGTGGCCCGCTTCCATCATGTGGCTCTCGCCCTACCGTCCTGCACATTCGTCTGGACAAGTTGCAGGAGTTTAGCGGGTTGAGTGCCAATCGTGTTCGAAATGTGGCTCTCGCTTCAGCACCGCGCACATTCGTGTTACACATTTGAAATAGCTCCACGGGTTGAGGGCGTTCCTTTTCAGCATGTAGTTCTCGCAGTAGCGCCGCGCACACTCGTCTCAAATTATAACGGCGAGAGCCAACCATACGCAGTTGTGAATACATCCGTTGTGAGAACCGCCTTCGGTGGAGCTCCATACGGGGCCGCGAGAGGCATGAAGGAAACGTCGACATGGGGCGGGGCCGCCATGCGGGCGCTGCAGAAGGGGCCGCCCACAGAAAGAGCGGAGGTCAAACGAAACGGGTCCCATGCTGATGTAACCCGTTGCGGCTGACAAGCACCGGGAAAAGCGGAAGACGACATGTAGGCGCAGCCACTGGCGCCTTCGGTGGAGCTCCCTATGAGGCCACGTAGAATGTGATGGGTGTACCAAAGTGAGGGGGTGGTTGCGGCATGCGAACGCAGGGCAGTGGGGCCTTCAGTGGAGCTACCTATGGGGCCACGAAGCGTGTGAGGGGTGTGCCCATGTGATGGGGTTGGCAGCATGCGAACGCAGCCGCTGGCGCCTTTGGTGGAGCGCCCTATGGGGCCACAGAACGTGTGAGCGGTGTGCCACGAGGGGGGGGCTGCATGCGAACGTAGCAACTGGGGCCTTGGGTGGAGCTCCATATGGGGGCACGAAGCGTGTGAGCGGTGTGCCAAAGTGAGGGGGGTGGCTGCATGCGAACGCAGCCACTGGGACCATCGGTGGAACGCCCTATAGGGGCACGACGCGTGTGACGGGTGTGCCAAAGCGATGGGGGGTGGCGGCATGCGAACGCAGCCAGTGGGGCTTTCGGTGGAGCTCCCTATGGGGGCACGGAGCGTGTGAGGCGTGTGCCAAAGTGATGGGGGTGGTGACATGCGAACGCAGCCGCTGGCGCCTTCGGTGGGGATCCCTATAAGGCCACCAAGCGTGTAAGCGGTGTGCCAAAGCGAGGTGGGTGGCGGCATGCGAACGCAGCCACTGGGGCCATCGGTGGAACGCCCTATGGGGCCACGAAGCGTGTGACGGATGAGCCAAAGCGAGGGAGTGGTGGCGGCATGCGAACGCAGCTGCGGGGGCCTTCGGTGGAGGAGTTCCCGATGGGGGGGGGCACGAAGCGTGTGAGGGGTGGGCCAATGTGATGGGGTTGGCGTCATGCGAACGCAGCCGCTGGCGCCTTCGGTGGAGCTCGCTATGGGGCCACGAAGCGTGTGAGGGGTGTGCCACATTGAGGGGAGTGGCGGCATGCGAGCGCCGCCACTGAGCATTCTATGGATCTCCACAGTGAGCCGCGAAGCGTGTGAAGGGTGTGCCAAGGTGAGGGGGTGTGGCGGTATGTGACCGCAGCCGCTGGGGCCTTCGGTGGAGCTTCCTATGGGGCCACGAAGCGTGCGAGCGGTGTACCAAGGTGAAGGGGTGTGGCGGCATGCGAACTCAGCCACTAGGGCCTTAGGTGGAGGTCCCTATGGGGCCACGAAGCGTGCGGGGGGGGGGGGGCCAGCGTGAGGGGGGTGGCGGCATGCGAAAGCAGCCACTGAGGCCTTAGGTGTAGGTGCCCATGGGGCCACGAAACGTGTAAGCGATGAACGGGGTAGCGGCATGCAAACGGAGGGGGACAAGGAGGAAAAGGAGTAGAAGAGGAACGCGGGGCGGTGTCTCTTCAAAACGAGGGCCCAACTCCACAGGATGCTTGGGACAAATGACAACAACATTTCACGAATTCCCATGGCTAGCGTAACGGAATTGCGTGTAGGAGCGGTTCAGGCTTGCAAGGGCGCAGCAGTCACGTTGATTCGCGCTGTTGAAGTCCCAGGAATGGTGTTCTGACACGGTTCAGAATCGTCAAGACGCATCAATCAAATTGACTTTTTGGCGTTGGAATCCTGAAAATGGTGTTTCGGCACACATCAAGGTCTTCACACGGTTGTCCCCCAACGGGGCACTCTCCCCAGTTGAAATGAATCCTTGCGGGTTCTGTGCAGAGGGAACTCTGACGGAGGCTTTACTCCAACATCGATGAGTCTCGGGTTCACACTGGTCCTCCTCCTTCCCCTCCCCCCCTGCTCCCACTCCTCATCTACGCTGGGCAGACTTGCGCTTCTGGGCTGCAGCGTCCTCCTTCCCCTCCTCCCCCCTTCTCCTCCTAGTCGTGCCGCGAAGGCCGCATCGGGCGGCGCCCGGCCGCGGGGAGATGGAGCGCCCTGACGTCCCTTCGCTGCGACACGGCAGCGACGGATCACCTCTGCCCATCCTCGGCCTCCGGGGGGGCCCTCGCCGGGCCCCACGGCCGACAGAACGCGACTCGGGGCGAGAAGCTGGTCTTAGAGGAGTCCAAGCCTGTGGGGAGCCGCGCTGCGAAAAAAAAAAAAGCACGGAGGAGGAAGTCCGGGACGGCCAGGGTGACATCAGATCGGAGGACGGCCCATCGAACAAAACAACACCAAGAACAACAACAACAACAACAACAACAACACCACCACCACCAACAACAACACCATCAACAACAACAACAACAGCAACATCAACCGCAACAGCAACAGCAACAGCACCAGCAGCAACAGCAACAACCGCAGCAGCAGCAGCAATAGCAACAGCAACAGCAGCAACAACAGCGACAGCAACAGCAACAATAACAACAGCAACAGCAACAGCAACAGCAACAGCAACAGCAACAGCCACAACAACAGCAACAGCAACAGCAACAATCACAGCAACATCATCATCACGAACAACACCAACAAAAACAACATCATCCACAACAACAATAACAACACCAATCACACCAACAACCTTAACAGCAACACCAGCAACAACATCAACAACGACAACAACAGCAACACCACCACCACCAGCACCACAAACGCCAACAACGACATTAATATCCACAATAACTACTAAAACTACTACTACCACTACTACTATGACTACCACTACTCCTGCGACTACTACTACAACTACTACTACTACTACCACTACTACTACTTCTACTACTACTACTACTACTACTACTACTACTACTACTACTACTACTACTACGACGACTACTACTGCCACCACCACCACCACCACCACCACCACCACGACTACTACTACTACTACTACTACTACTACTACCACCACTACTACCACTACTACCACAACTACTACTACCCTCCCTGCATCATCTCGCTCCTTCTGGGCCTCCGCCCGGGTCAGGATGGACCCCGGGAGGGGTCTGGCTGGGGACCCCTTTCGACCGGACCTGGACCAGGCGGGGGAGCCGCCGTGGTCTCCACCGGCCCTGCTCCAAGCAGGAGAGCCCTCGGATCTGTACTCCAGGACTCTGCCCGGGTCAGGCGGCGAGCTGTGGGAAGGAGCTGTGGGAAAAAACACAAACACACACACAGAAACAAAAACAATAAAAACACAAACACACACACAACAAAAAACACACGAAAGACACAAACACACACACACACACAACACACACAACACACACAAAAACAAACACACAAAAAACACAACAACAACAGCAGCAGCAAC